GCCCTAACCCCAAGTCTAACAATTTATCAACCTTGCCCTTGGTCGACCAAGCCCACAAGGTATTACTTTTGGTCCAGCAACATACATTTAATCGTGATTTCAAGGTACAGGGATATAGAAGATTGTCTTCATGTTTCAGGACACAGCCCATAATGTGTTTTATGTTTCACAGCTGTTTGTGGTTCACCACAAGTATAATTAATTACCTTGTTATTGCTCGACAATCCTGATCTTGATAAACAAGATTATTTTCCGTGTTCCATAGATAAACCAAGATAATTTTGTTTTCCCTTTATTAGGGAATAAACCTTTGTTGATGGTTTCTCTCAGAGCTGTGATTCTGTGTTAGTTTTGTTTCATGAGCGGTGTGACCCTTCCATGTACTGTACGTTCTTCTAAGAGTGCTGTAACCCTTGGACGTCTCTTCAGGATTTTGACTCTAGTATGGGTCTCTTTTTTGAATGGCCTGCCAGGGCGGTTACTTTCCTGCAGAATACCGACTTTACATTTTGATATTTGGATCACTAATAAAGTTGAGTTTCTTGTAAAGAACTTTGGAAGACTTGCTTCAGTATAGTTTTGATCTTTGATGGTTTACATTGTTTTACCAGGAATTATTTTGATCTTTATATGATGTGTTTATTGTTATGGAATCTAAAATTTTCAAATTACAGTAATAGGAAAATATCAAGGGAATTTCAAATCGAATTAGTAACTGGAAGCAATAGTTGCTAATTCAATTTGAAATCACCTCGAACAACCTAAGTTAATGAATGACTGCAAGACATTACCAAAGGTGATGATCAATAATGAAAACAAGTATAATTAACAATAATATTTTATTATACTGTATATACCAGTATATGTACAGTACATGATGTATGGAAAGTGCGTCCCTCCACACGCACTCACTCCACCACCACGCCCAGTATCTTCAACGCACTTCTCGCACATCAATAGCCCCACACATACTGACACTAACTTAAGCGTCTTCAGTGAAACACGTAAATAAAGATGGGGGAAGTGAGGCTTAGCCCTGAGAGATATGGTGGACTACACTAAATAAAGGAAATATTCCATACTTCATATGTAATTCATTCTAGAAGATTCACAATAACATATTCTAACATGATATATTACATCAACATATAATAACGTGTTGGTAAAAAAAATATTTATTAAATTGAAACAAAATGTTGATAGATCATAATACAAATAGTATTTTGCTTTACAATGTACTCGGGAACAATTACGCACACAATACCGGCTTAACACACTTCATATTTTGTCTTCTTAAACCCGTTTGTGATACATCAATATAGATAATCTACTACATTATACAATTTATTTGGCAAGTATACAGCAAACAACATACCTGTACTTATATATATTTTCTCTTCACATAAGTTTGAAATAATTAATGGCGTCTTTAACTTACAATGTCTAAGTTTTTATTCTAAACCAGATGACACAGGTGGGACATAGAATAAAGCATATATTTTCTTTAGGGATAATTTAACATGTTATACCATAAATATATCTAAATTTAATACAACTAACAGACAATAATGATAAATAACCCTAAGATAGACAGGAGTAAATGTAGAGTTTAGTTTTTTCAGTTAACAACATTACTGAAACCACGACAAAATAAAAATATTGATAATTAACAAAGTTTTACATTAAATTAAATGCATTATAACATTAAAAAGCCAGTGTGTGAATTGGGTAAAAATAAAATTAACAAACACATACATAGTTAAAAAAGGATATTAACAATAAGAAATAAAATTAAAAAATTACGAATAGATTTCACAACAATTTCACATCAACAAAATTTTAAAAAAGAACACGAGTAACATGAATTAACAAAAGAAAAAATAGGACGAAATAATAGCAATGGCTAAATAACAAATAAAATATAAGGACAAATTTCACAGACTGTGATATTTCGGATTTTATATACAGTATCTATTACGAGACTTAGATAGCTTATGGTGTAGTGGTGTGAAGTTTAGTCTGGAACCTCCGTGCCCTCGGTGTCGCTCGAGTTAGGGCAACTACAAGTATGATAGATAGAAACTACGATTTCGATCACTTGGTATAAGCAGTACTAAACAGTATACGATGTATTCTATGTATAATCTCTACAGTTTACTATGCTTCTTGGGGAGTGATAAAGGTGAAAAGTCAAGACTACACAACTTTATAAATGTAATTTCTCAGGATGAGTTGACACGTTGCTCGAGTGTAGTTCAATTATAATATTTTTTAGTTGATTTTAAGTATTGACAGTGTGGGACTATTTCATGAAATCGAGTTTATGAGTTTCGTATGATTGTTCAGTCAATGTATTAATGTTCAGTTAACGTCATTGTGTTCAGTCATTGTTTTTTTGTTCAGTCGATGTCCTAACGTTCAGTCAGTGTCAATATTGAGACAATGTCTTTATGGCCAGTCAACGTCTTAATGTTGTCAATGTCACAATGTTCAGTCAATGTGTTTATGTTCAGTCACTGTTACAATGTTCAATCAATGTCATAATGTGAATTAACGTCTTAATGCTCAATCAATGTCTTAACGTTTAATCAGTGTCTCTAAGTTTGGTCAATGTCACAATGTTTAGTCAACTTCTTAATGGTATATCAATGTCAAACTGTTCAGTCAACGTCTATATGTAAAATTAACACAATCAAAATGTATCTTTATACTAAATTTTGCGTGGCACAAACACAACGGGCGAAGGATTGAATTTCAAGGAACCCATCTGTAAAGATGCTTATTTTTTGACTGTCTGTACCCTGACAACACTGAGCAGAGTACTGCATTGTTTATTGCCTACCTCACTCAATGCCAGTGATTGAGAATTAATATCAAGATCATTACTGAATAAATGTTGCCATTAACCCCTCGTGTACCGTGGTCAAACCCCTTGTGTAACTGTAACGTAATAATAATAATAATAATAATAATAATAATAATAATAATAATAATAATAATCATAATAATAATAATAATAATAATAATAATAATAATAATAATAATAATAATAATAAAAGGAGCACCAATCTAAGGTTCGACCAGTGGACATCTTGGCAGACATGCCGAGTCGCACAGCATCACCCAGCGCTGTTTCTGAATTAGTCTTGTAGCTTCCATATACTGTACTTCTCTATCACACCTGTTTGAACCTTTATTTTTACTTCTATTAAATCATGGTACACAAGGGGTTAGTAATTATACTTTTCATCATAACTAGACTGTCTGGTAGTATTACAGTGTCACTATTGATTACAGTCTGTCATTACTGATTATTGTCTGTGTCATAATTGATGTCTATATCAATATGAATTATAGAGTCAATTTTTAACATGTTAATTACTTACGGTCGGTGTTAACAGTCTCGATGGAGTCCGTAGGCCTACACATGAAACAAGTTAACGTCACAGTGAAACATACCAGGTTGGTCTAATGCTTCTGTCACTTAGGTCTTTATTATCTCATTTGTCAATTAACGCGACCCTTTAACTTCAGGAACCACAAGTCAAAGGTTAAGGTCTGGAGGAACGAAGATTTAATGCATTAGATCTCTAAAAGTCTACTAAGGCTGACATTTTACAGCCACCCAAGGAAGCAGTGTGATGTGTCGCCACGAGTCATTACCTACAAGTCATCATAAATGTCAGCTCCCATAACAGCAGGCAAGACAAAACGTTCTGTGATTTGTAATGGCTGCTTGAATTTACGTCTGGGTCATTACCTGAGTTAATGAGCAAACAGGTGTCTGAGATAACCCTGGATGTGCTGTGGTGTAATGTTGTGGTGGCAATCGGTATAATATCCACACTTCAGTAGGTGCTTAGGTGAATAGTTTGGTCTTCAATGACATTATTTAGGTATGAAAGGAATCCAAGTATTATAGAATTTAAGGCGATGTAATTACATGAACAAACGCATCCCAGTAAGGTTAGTTGTAGAAATATACGTAGAAATAAATAAGTAACTAAATAAATAAATAAATATATACAGTATATGCTTGTGTATATCCTTGCCCAAGCGTATATCAATGTGATATTTTTCCGCGAATTACCTTGTCACTTAACTAAAGTATCCGATTTTATTTTTCTATATATATATATATATATATATATATATATATATATATATATATATATATATATATATATATATATATATATATATATATATATATATATATATATATATATATATATATATATATATATATATATTAAATTTATATATAGATAACATTAATAGACTATACTGACACGAATCTCAGTACAAAATAATAACATCTGCATCATAGAAAACTACCGACAGGTCAATTAATGACTCAAATAGGCTGTATAACGATTAAATACCACAAAGCCGTATCGGTAAACTTAGTAGAATAATTTAGAAATCTGAAAAAAAAAATAGTTGAATATGTTAATGGAAACACGAATAAACAACTCTCTCATACTTATGTTCCAAAAATCTGAGTACTTGAAGGGCACATGCAAATTATGTCGAGTTTCTCATGTTGAAGGTACCCGCGTTCTTATACCCACACTACGATAGTATTTCCTCTAACTGCATAGGTTCAGATTCTCAAAAAATTACACGATTATTTTTCTTCCAAATTAAGAACAAAAGAAAAAAAAACAATTAGTTAGAATGGAATCTGTGGGTAATTTTGATGACATTTCAATCGTTATATTTTTGTGGTATCTTGTTTCCACGTGTTAGATATATTCTTTGATCTTCAAGTACAAAGGGAAAAATAACTACAGAATTTTTGGAAATCATAACCCAGGAACTTTGGTAAATATTCTTGCCACAATACATTTATATCACGCAAAAAAAAAAATTATATATATATATATATATATATATATATATATATATATATATATATATATATATATATATATATATATATATATATATATATATATATATATATATATATATATATATATATATTAGAAGACAGTCAAATTCAAAACCAAATTTGCTTTGCTTCGTCTAATACTGGCCAGTTGTCCACAGTCTCGCCTGAAGCTCCTCGTCCAGGCTTCGGTGCTGAGTCTAAGTCCTAGACTCTATAGGAAGTGGATAATGGTCGACCAAGAAAAAAATATCCTATTATATTAACTATGGTCACGAGTCGAGGGGTGCGCGAGTCTTTGGTCGAGCTTTGGTATTCAGGATGCCCACTACTACATGCTAAATTAGGTAACAATAAATTAATTAATAAATACAAATAAATAACCCACCCATCAGTTAACCACTCCACTGATACGTGTGATAGAGAGAGAAAATAAATGAGTCTTTTATATAAGAACAAAAATATCGTAGGCTTGGGATGTTCTTATCAAGATGTACAGTATAGTGTGTGTGTGTGTGTGTGTGTGTTCTAAGCTGGAAGAAAATGAGGACTCGAATGAAAATGAAGGTTCACTATGAGCGAAGGGAAAACTATTCTATTCCTCTCAGGTGTGACTATCTGCACCAAACGTTTTCTCAGGTGGATTTAAATCTTTTATCTATAGGCCTACCGTAAGACTACAGTAACTAAGTCGAAAGACGTTAACTAGGAATTATTGTTTTAAGATAATGGAAATCATATTTACAGGATGTAACGCCAGTTGAGATGTAGAAACAAATCCTATTGTGGAGTAAAAGTTTGGGAGGCAGTGGAGTGTTCAATGACTAAAATGATGACGGTATTCACCCAGGCAAAGAAGTTCCCAGTGTTTCTGCCCCTGTATTAATCCCCGCTCCCTCCAGCAACTGTACAGGTCGCTCTCCTCTGCGTGTCGTATACTGTAACTCCTGTTCTTATAAACTACATTAGAATATGGAAGAACAAAAACTTCCTGAAGGGGTTTGCTACAAGAAGTTGAAAATCATCATTGAATTTCATTTTTATGACAGTATGCATAGAAGTACATCTGTTTTCCTATTATTAGTTTCGTAAAGAATAGTTATCTGAAGTAACAGATGACAGGAGTTGGGGAAGAAACAACATTACACAGAACAAAACATGAAGATTTTCTTACACAGAGCTGGTGTGAATAGCTCCGGTTATATTTGTCTCAAATAACCCACATGCAATTCTGGAAAATTATTAGCTGTCTCACAAAACAGGTTCGACTACCCGGTAGTTGAACAGTGCAGCTGCTGGAAACTAGAGGCGACTAGACGAGTAAAGAGAAGACTGTAATTCTGGTAATAGTCTGAAGAGGTAATGAGGCGTAAGTAAGAGCACTGATTATTGGGTTATACTGAGAAAAGCAAGATTGACTTGAAGCGACCGTGAAATGACTTGTGTAGAGCAGAGAGTGACTAGGTGCTGCAGCTAGAAGTAACAGGGACAGTAACAACTAGAAGCTCGGGGGGAACCATAATTATCATCTTGGAGTGGGGAGTCGCCGCTGAAAAAGCAGTAGTAGGGCGCGCGGCAGGTTCTCTACCCCAAGGAGATGTTATAAATCGTTGTAGCCGTCGAATATCTTGAACAAGGACATGGGACACTGCGGGTAAGCTGACCAACAGTTACCGTACGCTCGTCCGTAGTACTCCGCGTTCACATAGTCGTACAGCTCGTTCGACGTGGACCCGTATGAGGCGCTGAGGGCGCAGAAGAGAAACAAATGAATCAATGCTGAAATATAATATATTGGATATTATTGTTTTATCTTAATGAGAAATACTGAAGTAAGACAAATTATGAAGGGCGGATGAAACAATGAAGAACTTAGAAGAAACGCTGATTAATAATTGGAACAATGTGAGAAACTTCAGAAAAACGCAGAACTTAATAGAAACGAAAAGAAACACTGGGGAAATGCCGAAGTAATAAAATCTTTAAGAACATAAGAGAACGCTGAAAAGCGTAGGAAAAATACAGTGAAGAACTTAAAAACTGGTCAAGTGCTGAAGAACATTGCCGAAGAACACAGGTTTAAACGCTGAATTGCCGAGGAAAAAGACTGAAGAACTTAGGATACACGATGAAGAACATAGGATAAAGTGCTGAGGGATATAAGCGAAGGAACTCACGTTAGGATTATGTTGAGAATCTCTCCCAGGAGGCCGTCGTCCCTTAGTGGTGACTCGGCCACTTCACACACAGCCCTCAGCAGACACGACTTGCCGTCCACCCCGAACCTACGACACACGGGCGATAGTTTGCCTTAAGTGACCGAATTTATCGCTTTTTAATAATGAAATAACATCATAGTTTTTACCCAATATTATTAACGCAGTCTCCATATAACGCACAGAGTCCGTTTCTTACCCTTAAAACAAAATGTAAGTCCATTCTTTCTGTATACGTCAGGTTCGAGTCTGCCATTATATCCAAACACTCAAATGATTATCACTTCCTCTTTACTCCTAAGTTTATATTAAATTTTCCTATCTAACAACACACACACACACACACACGTCGACTTCAGCTCCTTCTGGTCTTCATGTCTCCAGACACCAGTGTGGGACAGCTGATACACCATCCTCGCTACCAGCCAACCCCTCTCGTGCAGCTGTCCGACACCACGACTACATCAGGCCTACAAGACCAGCCACCCTGCTATACTTTCTGTAATTTTGTTTGGTCACCCTCATGTTTTCTTATCATTTTGTAAAGAAAGTTTTTCCTTAATAAACCTCTCCCAGTGTCACCATAACTATTCTACGTCACCTCTGTTTATTATGTATTTTCTTTTTTGGCTGTTATTTTTTATCAGAAAATCGTTAATTATTATATTTATATTATATTCATTATATGTTATTACTATGGTTAATATGACCCGGTACTATTATCATCATTACAGACACACACACACGGTTTACCTCTTACCACCGACCCAGCCACGCATAATGTTTCTCTCAGATCTTAAAGAAAAGTTTGTTTATCCCCAGGATGTACTGACCTGGAGATGGTGTCGACGAGGACGCTGTAAATACCGAGTCTGTCGTCGTCCATCCTGCCGTAACTGATCTGCGTGGCGTTGGGCAGCTTGATGGTGAAGGGCAACTCAATATCCAAGAACCCAGCTGGAGGGTAAGAGAGAGAGAGAGAGAGAGCGAGGTAGAGAGTGTGGGTGAGGGAGTCGCTGGGACTTTAATTTTTCGTCACAGAGAATAAGGTTCTGCGTTTACTGTGAATAAGCGAAACTTTATTATATGATTTCGAAATATGGGGATGTACCCACGCTGTCATACACAAGGAATGACTCCACAGTTGTATAAAAATAGTGACATTAATTTGTTATAGTGGAATATGGCAAAATCCCCTTTTTTGTCAACATGGGAATCCATTTTTAACAGGTAAAGGAAGATGCACTTCGTTTGACAGACAACTTTTAGTTCTGATCGGGTCCGCCATCCACAAAACAATGTTAGAGACAAGTCTTACACGACGGAACTCTTATGGGTGATACAATCTGATAGCGTAAATAATACAGGAACTCGCCACCAGAATCTGTATTACCTCCCAATTGTGACTTACAGTAAGTTCAGACTATTCTTAACATGTTTACGGTACTTCACAAGAGTCACGTAATTCACGTATGACCATTTAGTAGGCTGCAAAATTTTCCCTAGAGTGTGAAATACAATCGTGAAAAAAAAAAAAATAAATAGACGGATAAATTAGACAGTCTCTTAACCACATCCAACTAACATGGGTTGCTCCAGACCACAACGGTGTCCGGACAAAAGCCCCCTAGGAGAAAAGCGGCCTAGGACAAAAGCCCATTGGACAAAACTCCTCAGTTAAATTGCAAAATAGGTTAGGTTAGGTTAGGGTTATAAAATGTAAACTGTAAATAATAAAGAATAAAAATAATGAAAAAAAAATCTTATATGTCCTCGGGCTTTTGTCCTCACTCGACCACAACACAGGTGTCTACGATCCCGTACTCCGTTAGTTCATTCACATTTCTTGGTCACCTCTGATAATATAATTTGTCTATTACCGATTTTGTTTTCTTGACCTAATAAAGTCAATTGAGCAAACGTGTTGGTATCAACGACGTAAAAACTCGTCCATAAATACATGTGTATATCTGATGTGAATATCTATTAATCAGATAATTCATTTATTTACTTAATCCCCTCTAGTCTAGTTCATTTATCTATTACTGATATACTTCTTCAATGGGAGAGGATAAGCTTGTGCAAAGGAGTTGTATGACAGTGTAAGTAATGCGAGGCCACGGTCTAGCGAGGAAGGAAGTGACGGGCAACAACTCTATCGCCTCAACGTCACACTGATGGCTTCATTACACCTGGCTCGTCTACAGATTTCTACACCTCTTGCTACTTGATCAAGGTCACAGTAGATGGGAAAAAATACAATGCATATGTAGATTTCTCAGAGTTCATTCTCCTTAGTTGAGGCTTCGATCGAGAGGAAAATTTTGGTATTGTGACAATATTGTACACAATTTTCAATATATGATGATAAGTTTTAATTGAAGGGAAAGTCTCTTATACTATATCACATAAATCCTTGTACTTTCTTCTAAATGTTAAGGCATCATCGTCCTCATCACCTCCACCACCGTTTCATGGCCATTTTCCACACTCGCGTGGGTTAGCCGTGATTACTTGGTGGCACGGTGTCCACGTTGCCATCAAGAACATTTTAACCAATTTTTACAGTTGGATACTCTCCTTAACGCCAACTCACTTTTACAGAGAGGGAACTGGGTGTTATATGTAGGACATCTGTAGATAAACACTGATGATTTATAAACAGGAGGAAGAAATATTTGGGGATGTTTGATGAGTTTTATTTTTAAGTTCTCAAATGATAATGATTTACGCGAACACTTACGATAAAAACTCCGATTTTAACGCATTATAAGAGTTTCGAGATAATTTTCTAGTATATATTTTTTGTACTAGTAAAATATGATATAACCTATGGGTGTTGTTTCATTACAGTTAATGGCAGCGTGACTAAACAGCTGGGAGTCTGGGATGATGACACAAATTATGACGATTTATGACGTGAAAACTATACAAAAAATAGGTAAGAGGTTGGTGACCATCTGTGTAGGAGTGGGGGATTAATGGTAGAGGCGTAGTTAGTTTAAAAGACAAGTAACGACTAATGACCATACACACACACTTTATTTTCTGGGTGGCATTATACAGACATTCTAAAGACTTCAACTCGCTCTATCAATGTTTAGTCTGAAGTCAAAACCGTCCACTTTCATGGGGATAACCTCTGACCTTTTGATCTTATACGCTATATGGTATGAACTTACTGATGTCATTCTTAATTGAACTTTTGAACTTTTGACAGACAATTGACTCGATGCCAACGGTAGAAGGAAACTCTCCACAGCATAAAATGAGTTACAACCGTTCACAGAAAAAGACAGCACAGGCAACGAGCAGGACTTGGTGTTAATCTCCACGCCTCAAAATACATTCAAGGCGACTTAAATAAAACAGACGAGCGCCAGTCCTTCTAAAGGACTGGAGTTTTAGTTTTACGTCCATATAATCACTCTTAGCGACCACTAACAAGCAGAGGCGGAAGACATTATTGGTGACATTAAGACAGCGGTACAGATTGATTACAGATTGCCCACGAGGGGGCTAGTTTATCGGGCACCCCCTTACATCCTGTGCAAGGTGAAGCGCAGAAGTGTTTACAGCGCCCATTTGGGAAGCATGTGGAGTTCATGCTTGCCTTTATGACTCATGCATTAAGGGCGTAAAAGGCCTGAAGGGTCGTGGGTTTTGTCAGCAAGTTACATAAAGTGACAGAATGTTGAGTGTGTGGGGGGAAAATTCCCGGTACAATTTATCTGTTTATGACAGCCACTAACAGCCTTACAACACCACCCCGTTAGCTTATGTTACATGTAACTGTTAACGAAGGATGAAGAACTCCCGTGGTTTACCCGAGACGGTCGTCCACTTTCCTTATACAACGAAGGTAAAAGTAACTCATCTGGATACACGAATAATAAGACCTTGAACCGAATGTAAGTGTGCCTCTGTAATACATCATATAAAATGTTCATTACGATAAGTTCAACTCCCAAACACGTGTTCCCTATATAGTAAATAAATATCGCTTGAAGATTAGCCCCGCCATGTAATTTCACTTGATATAATACCCTAACTTGTACCTGGGGCTGTTAGGTTAGGTTAAGAGACCGAGAGACGCTCTCGGGATATCTGCTTACTTCTATGTCTTTGTCCATCTGTCTCTCATTTTTACTACTCTCCCTCCAACTTCTTCCCTCTGCACCCTCTTTACTTCCTTCTCTAAACTTCTAATTTCATTCCTCCTCAACCTCTCTCACACCTTCACCAACGTTCCCCTCACCGAGCACACACACACATCACCCGTCCACACAAATCACAACAATGATGTCGTGAAAGACCCGTGACGGCCCGTAGCGACACATGGTTCCACCGGCCGCTTCCGCCACCACTACCGCCCACCACAATACCAGCCAGCCAACCACTACGACGCCCAATCACGTCAAATCTCAGTCAGTATGTTACCGGGCCAGAGTTCGACCAGTGACCTACAAATTAATTACCTCGGTGATCGTGAGAGCGTACAGCCACGTTCATCACAGTCTGGAGACTTTAGCCATGAGTAATTGAAATGGACCCTGACGACACACACATGATTACTGAGGCGAATTTGGAATATGATTTAACAGTAGTGTTACGAACCCCTCCACCAATTGTCATGATCTACCTACCCAGCACTACTAACCACGCCATCTATTGTCCTGATCTACCTACCCAGCACCACGAGCAACGCCATCTAGGGACGAGACACGAGTATGACTCGTCTTAGTTACCACTCCGGGGTTTCCCTTCTCCATATCCTGGTTGTTGCGTCACTTCCTCCAAGTCTTCTTTGTCAGCTCGAGTTCGAGGAGAGTTCTCTACACTCTGGGAAGTGACCACAGGATCACCTATCCTGGAAACCTACGGCACAGTGACTACCTACCGCCTTCTACAATACTCAGCCTTACTCGTCAGCCATCTCAGCTCCGCACTTAAGTATTTGTAATCTTATATTGCCTCCCCCACGTCCACTTGCTTCAAATTATTGTATGCTGCATAAATATGTATATACTGTTAATGTTTAGGTTAAGTATGGTTAAGGGTAAATTATAGAAAGCTGATTATTTTGTTAAGGAATTCATGGTACTTTATTATACACAACGAAAACTCCCATCCTTTGTCTACCCTTTTATAGTCCGATTGTCTTTGTTTTTTTGTTGTTGTTGCCTGTTGGGATCTGGGTAGACTTTTAACTATATTCTAAATCCCCAACTCGTAACAGTAGGTAGTCGAAGGTGGAGGTGTGACTGTCTCCCAGGAAGGTTTTTCGCTCCAAGGGTGCATGGTGGTGGTACAGGGAGGGAGATTATGACCACCGCTTAGTGAGGGTAGAATGTAGTTATCGCTTTAATTGGACTGTATTTGATGTGTGTGTTGATGTTATACTGCATTACTGCACTTCAGCAGTGAAGGTCTTTAAGCGTGTATACTATATGTAGTTTAGTAATTAAACTAGACATCAACCATTAAACTGTGTGTGTGATGTGATTGAAGGGATTACCGGGTTGTAGAGGTCAGCAGGTACAACAAATAAACATTATTAATAGTAATTATATCGCTAAAACTAGTATTATCAATCGACAGCAGCAACAATAATAATAAAATATATGGTAGTATTAATTAATTATTACTACACCACTAATAATTATTATTATTATATATGAACGTGGAGGACACTAACTTGATCTACACGTTGACGAATCACAATATAAAACACAAATTCACTTGAAAAAAATGTAATGCCATTTAGAGCAGACAGTCACAAGTTTGTGTTTAACTCAAAGTCAGAGAGCATAGAGCATCAAATTAATAACGTACAGTAAAAATTCCCCATTTGCAGGTTTATATATTCGCGGTTAGTCTTTATATATGAACTCACCATCCGCGGTACACTATTCCTTAACCATGTGCAGTATAAAAAAAATCCGGTTGTTTAGAGATATTCATATACACCTTCCCAGCCCACAGGAAACACGCACACACTTCTAAAACGTTCAGTACTGTGCTTTGAGCCCTTGACGGACCCTCGTGAAGATTAGACACCTAAGCTTATTTCACCTGATGCTTAAACACCCTAACGCTACCTGGGGGGGAGGGTATTTAGATTTGATTAGGTTATTCTTAAGGTGAAATAACCTGTGGTACCTAATCGCGTAATTGTTTATTTGTCATTGTAAAACAGAAATTACACCTCTCAAGAGTGAACATGACTCGAATTCTCAACCATTCTCATGTTTAAGTTTCCTTGTGATTAGCGATGCGAGAATGCATTTACTTACGGTTAAATCTCGGTACTTTTGGCGGTCAACTATGTGCCACAGCTTAAGTGGACACAAGAAAGCGTTTTCATTTCCCAAGCTGTGGGCATTATTAGCATTGGGTCTTCAGAACCCAGAACAGGACCCAGAAACCTATTTGTATTTTGTTCCAGATATAACCTCTCATCACAGTTTCTACAGGACTACGAACACCTGGCAAGTTCTACAGGGGTACTTACAGAGGTCACCGACAGAGACGACAGGGATACACAGGACAGGGGTGATGGTGAAGGTGGAGCCCGTCGGGAAGGCGATCGTCCGCTTCTGTCGGGAGTGTAGCTCACCCAGCTCTGTGGCGGGAGAGGAGAGGAGTGGTTAGTGATATGTTGCGGAGTGTTGAGGTGAATGTTGCTGTGTTCTATGAAAATGAGCAACACACACACACACACACACACACACACACATATACACACACACACACACACTTACATATACAGGGCAAAGGGAAGCATTGAAAGATAAATCCCAGTCACATTATCTTTACTGACAGCCAGAATTATTACAAATCACATCGCACTAAAGATTATTCTTCAAAAATTTGCATTTTATGGTCAATGATTAAGAGACAGTCAGACAGCTACACATGTACTGGCAATAGAGTCATGGGTGGTCGCCCTCACCTCAAAACTAACCGGGTTATTACAAGTAGCAGATGATGGTTACCTGTAATTACAGCTTCACATCATGTCATTACGGGAATCAAAACAGTCAGTGTGGCGTACCTGCTGTCTCGTTGGATGTACAATACATTATATTGCCAAGGAAATTGTGGTTGGTTTTGAAGACTTGTGATTATCCCTATTATTTATATGGGAGCTTCCTGGACGAATGTGTGTAGTGTCGGGTTGTGAATAAATCATAATGTTTTAGTGACGGACGGTAGATTATCATTATTATCGTTATTACAATTGTTAGTTATTATTATCAATGTTATCATTGCTCTTTTTTCAATAATTATTAATATTGTTATCATAAAAATCATCTCATTATCGTAACTAGTCCGTACTGGGCCTTCACCTTAGTTAAACAAGAATAAATCTCTTCAACATTACTGGTGACAACTGGGTGTGTTTTAACTGTGGTATATGCCTAGGAACGTCCACCCAGGGCAGAGAATGTCGACTGCCCTTCATTCTTTGGGGAGTTGTATGGTCATTTTAGTGTAAGTCCTGAAGACAGTGTTGAGTGGAATTTACATAACCAGAGATAAATCATTAGCAGTTTATATGAGTCGTACTTGTACTATTCTAGAAATCGCGCTTAAAGAACTTAATTTAAAAGCAATGATACAGCACATTATATATATTTTTCATTATTAACATTATTGCTCTGTATTATATAAACACAACCCAAATGTGTTGAGTGCTGGATTCACTTTTATAATGTTAAACTATTTGATCTTTGGTACACGTCGGAGATCTCCGTGGCAAGACTTGGTTCCAACGACGGGCAACTAAGCTTGTACCATCGTTTTAGAAACTTGATTTATGAAGAGACTGAAGATGTTAAACCTATCCACACTGTCTTACAAAACTTCAAGGGGACGAAATGATGGAGGCTTTCAAAATACTGTGTGAAGAGTATGACAGTGAGATATGTTAATATATTTTTGTCCTTAAAAGAAAATCAACTACCAGAGAACGTAGCAAAAATATATTTAGATACAGGGCAGGGATAAACGTAAGAAGAAAATGACATGCTGAAAGTTGGCATGGACTACCACTATATGTTACTAGTTCGGGAACAGTAAGTAAACTTGAGATGAACCCAGAAAAGTCATGGAAGGATTAGGCACAGAAACATAATTATAAAGCACTGGTTCAATGTTTAACAACTGCCTCGTCCGTCACCACCACAGTGGCAAGTCACGTAACAGTGGCAGGAGAGACAGGCTGAATAGCGTCTTCCAGGAACATCGTCTGAGAACATCTTAGTATCTATGAGTGAGGGACCTCCAGTGTTTTTGGCTAAATGGGGTTTCTTAGAAGCATACTCGTAAATAATCGTTGTCAACTCTTTGATTACTGATCGAAATAAACTATTTTAGAGAGCCCAATATTTATCATCTTTATCTTGAGAGGATTTACTCAGCAATGTCAGCAATGTTTTTGAAAGGAAATTATGAATTAAGGAGTGAAAGATCAATCTCATGTTGGAATCTTCAGAGAGATCAGTTATGCCACGTCGGTGATTAATAACTAGGGTTTACGAATAAAAAAATGAGCGAGTGAGTGACGACCAGTGAATCCTTTTACTGTGAACTTCAAAGTGATGGGAATATATGGCCAGTAATGTCATCTCCATCCAAACCTATTAGAGGAAGAGTGAAGGGTAAGGTGATGATGTATTAGGCTGAAGAAACGACATATGTTGCTGTGAAATATGAAGTAACGGACATAAATGGTGAGCCATGTTTCACACCATCACCCTCCACATCCATCGAGCGGAACAGTGAAGGATGAGCTACGGATCATCTAGTGAGATAACGTGAGGTGTTTGCTGGTGCTGTTCCTGCGAGTTGTGAAGACGTGCATAAAAATGATCTACAATATTTCACGTGTTATTTTCACACCGAATGTAGGAAAAAGTCATATGACAAAAAGAAGATAAAAGTAAGAAAAAGACAGAAAAAGTCATAAACTTAACTTTATTTTGGCTATCTAAAAATTTTACTAATTCACATGACTTTTTTCCCTAGGCAAATTTGTTACTTTTTTCCTGATTTTTTTTGTCGGACATGTTTTACACGATTCAGGACGTGTGCCGTGTTGACTGCTCCGTGTGAAGTAGGTATTGAAGGCTGTGAATAAGTCAGTTCAACGTGGTTTTTCATCTCATCACCACACCGGACGGAATATGGAGGCCGAAAATGCCATACTATACACCTCGTTCTGGTTGGCCTTCGTGCTCGCCAGCTACAGGTGATGATGTTGAGCAGTCACTTGTGGTAGTGAATCACGTTACGGGTGTTATATGACTGCTAGGCACGCTATCTGTCTGACACACACGCACAATTGACATCTTCTCAAGCACTTACTGTAGGTATCTGAGTACAAGGTTACACGCTATCTGTCTTATCCACACACTTTACGTCTTTTTATGTGCTTAAGTGTTTGAGGAGGTAATTCGTTTAATAATTTTAATGATATTGGTTAATCTCAGGGCTACGTGACAATTACCTTATTTTACGCCAGACTAAGATGTACGCAAAAAAATATATATATTATCAGCAACGATCGAATTTTAAGATGTGATAATGGGATTCACAGACAGTCGAACAAGACAGTTACTGAAACACGCCGGTGCTCAACTTGCGTCGTGTCGGCCATCAATAGTTTTCGTCTGGCTATTATACATTATAGTATGTTGCAATGGAGATATTTTTCTTTTGATTAATGTAAAAATGTAAAATTCTCTAAAATGACGACACCCACTGGAAAACACACACTCACAAACTCAACTCCTATCATGCTGGGTAAAAGATCTTTTCCTTTGCCAACAACACAACATGCATGTGTAACCATCCAGTATACATTCATCATTCTAGCTTCTATCTGCCGTTGTCGAATGTTGCGTTATTAAATTTTTTTTAAATTTCTCTCCCTTTGGCTCAACAAGGGACTCGACACCTTATGTAGATAAGTTTTGTGTATAAAATCACACAAAAATATAAGACTATCACTCCAGCCTCATTATCATTACCTTAACCTCTTCAAGTGTTGTAGCTAAGAAACAATGAGGATTCCAGCATTTTGTCATACCAACATTGTGTACTTAAAATATTTTAATTTTCAAAATGCCTATTTCTGTTTTTTCCCTTTAGCTCACACTAAATAAAGAAATAACTTTCAACTAAACTAAACTAAACTAAACTAACCTTTAGCGAGATTTCCGTTTTTTTTTTTGGGGGGCTCAGTCAGCGAATTCGTTCTTTGAGCCTAAAATACTGTACTGTATAATTATAATGTCGTGCATCACCTTACCTGTTAGACCTGTGATGCGCTCTCTTCAGGAAAGGATCTTGGAACACGTGGAAAATCGTTTCGCATTGGTTATCCAGCCGCCAGCACCGTGTGCGGCCTTATACAGTATGTACCATCTGCAAACGAAAGTTCTCGAACATCTGGGCACGATAGGTTTCAAAATGAGCACTATGGCTCGTGTCATCTCAGAATGGTTGGAATACCTGGTTGCGACGTGACTCAATATTTTGCTGTCTATATAGTATTTACAAAGTACAATGTTTAAATTTCTCGTTCGTTGAGTCATATTGTATGAAACCTGGAGCGTTCTAGAACTGTCTTTGCCGACTGCACAGTACATGCAGAGAGGAAACACCACCCGCCATCCACAGAGATTTTCAGGTACTGACCGCCAGTCGTGGAGTAGACTTCATTTTCGCTGAGTCACTCAATGTTAACTATGAACCTTGTTTTGAACAGTTCAACGACCCCTGTTCATTTCTCTACTGAGGAATTGGCAACTCTATCGACAAAACCAACGTTGGATAATAAAATTGTAATATTTCAATTTAATATAAATCATATTCATTTCTCAAATCAAATCATTAATATTTATACAGGCATTTGAAAAGTTCGGAGAGGTGTTTCGAGTCATGTTTTCAGTTGTGGAACGAGTCAAGCTGAAAACTTTATTTTTGCCTTGCATTTTTTAGAATTTTGATCTTAGAACTAACTTACTGCATATTTAACAATCATCTGAATTTACTAATTGCATTATTTTATCAACTACCAAGATTATAATTCCCTGATATCCTCTGTGTTTGGCCATTTATAACCTTTTGTAAGCCCTGTCCTTTTTATGTAATAGTTTTTCTATTGTCAATAAATATTTCAATTTCAATTTCCTCTGTGTTCGGAGCACCGTGTTGTTGAATTCAGATTATTGACCATATTCAAATCTTCAATAAATAGATACGGTGTGGCTGTGTCAGACTGCGTATTTGTGTACCGTGTCTGTGCTGTGTAATGCGTGTGTGTGTGTGTAATATATTAAACCAGCATTGAAGGGATGAGAGGTAGTACACGTCTATCCATGTTCGTGTTAAGGTATTGCGCTTGAGACACATCGGTATTTTAATTGGCTAAGAGCGTAGTTGTAGGTGCGTGACCGAGCGACAGAATTAAGGAGACAATGAATGAATGACAGTATGAATGAGAAAGAATGACCAGGTAACAGCATAGGTGTGTGTGTGTGTGTGTGTGTGTGTGTGTGAGCCATCTGGGTGACAAAAGATTGGCTGACAGTGAATGAACGAAAGAATGAATGACTGACGGAGTAAATGACTGACAGCGTGTGCGTGACTGCTACATGACTGAGCTTGGCTTCATCGCGGTAACATCTGGACGGCCACACATTACCTGTAGTCACGTTACTAGACAACCTCCTCACTGTCATGATCGTCTCAATGTTAATAAATACACTATTTTTCCCTCTCGCTTTTTAACTTTCTCTCTTCATCTTCCTATATATCTTTATCTCTCCTTTACTCTTACTCTTCCTTTTTCCTGTCTCTCCCTTTCTCTATTTTTCTTTATCCTCTTATATATATATACTAATTTTTAACTAATTCTACTATTGATCATTAAAAATAAACTATCGTCCACACCGTAACTGAGTCGACCTAACCTTTACACACACAAAAACACCTTTCCTTAACATATGAAAACCTTATCAACAATAACTAGTAAGAAACGAATCTTTTTTTCAAAACTCACCCATGTTAGTGTCGAGGGAAGTTCGAGCCTTGTTCTTGAGTTCTCGTTTAGTACGGGCACGATACTCGAACCACGTCTCGGTCATCTCAGCAGCAGCAAGAGCCACCACCGCCAACACCACCACCACTACAGCCACGCCCACCGCCCTCTTGTCCAACGTCATCGACCTGTGGGTGAAGAGTGAGATACAAGTATATATCAGTAACTGTATAGGTACACTGATAGAGGAAGACCGATGGAGAGAGACAAACGAACAATAAATCACACGCATAATAAAATCAGACGAGAGTGAACAGAAGCAAACCTCCAACGTGGGTGTGTCTAGTCTCGGGTAAAGTGTCTCAACATCAAAGAGAAGCCACGAGACAACCCACGAGTCACCGCAGCAACAGGTTAGGTTCCACATACGTCACTGCGACCACCACCATCTGGGCCTCGCACTAGTCTGCCTATTGTGGTTTAAGTTTTAGGTGTATTGAGGAGGGATCCGGTGGCAGACGGCAGATGAGAGGTAACGGGGATGCCGTTTAACACTTATCTTCCGTTAGTGGTTTGCAATGTTCATTTCTTAAAAGTGTGTGTGTGTGTGTGCGTGTGTGTGTTTGCATTTGGAAATCAGACACGGAAGACATAACTGAAGAGAAGTTTCACGTGTTAACTGTTATAGTGACTGTAATACACCAACACTGCAAATGAAACCGTAATTAGTTATCGTTCCTTTTAGTACACATTGTTGAAACCTGTAGTTTAGTCTTGATCACTGATTCATCCATCGTATTCACGGTCCTCTGGGTATCGCGCACTGCCTCCCTGACTATCACTATATATACAGTACTACTTAAAACTTGCTCTAATATTAAGGAAAAGGTGAACGAAAATCTTAAGTAGATGGTTCAGTATGTATGAAGATAAAGGAAAAATATATTCGGGCGAGTGAAAAGCTGTCATAGTCACACTACCACAAACAGTAATAGTTACACCTAAATAATCGTAATATATAAAGGTAACTGTCCTCATTGCTTAATATGTGATCAGGTTTATAAAAACGATATACTGTTCCTGGTTATAAAATTGAGGTACAAAAAGACACCTGTGACGTAAATCGCAGTACTTCAGGTCAATAAGGTCGTAGTTATGGAGTGCGTTGAATCAGAGGTCACAGAACATGTTTGTATCTTGTTTATTATCACTATCATCATTATTTAGAGTACAGTTTAGTACATATGACGTCGTAACAGTATGAGTTATGTAATGACGTGCTTATGTCTTGTGCCGTGGAAAGAAGATTTAAGGTGGACAACCCTTCAACAGATAGTCGTATTATCAACTATCTGTGTTCGTTGGTCAGCGTCTTAACTGAAGATGAGCTGCTCTACTGTGTCGAGGAGTCGTGGTTAGGATATTAATTGGAGGAACATTCTTGATAACACACACACACACACACACCACATCCTGTAACTTTCCCTGGGATCATGAACTACTCATGGCTGCTCAAGGCCTCAATACAGATACTCATGGATACATATAGCATTTAAGAAGCTCGACATTACAAAGTTCAACACTCGAAACTTACTCCGGAGGCCTGAAGCTTAAAATCGCCTTTCTTATACAGCATAATACGATCAACCTGCCTGATAGAAGGCATCAAATGTGCTTTCCGTTGCACTGAACTGCAGAAGGATCACTAAATGGCGCCTGCAGGACTTTAGCTGAAACTCGTTTCTGAAAAACCCACGTGTGTGTTGGGCTTGTGCCTTTGTGCTTGACTTCAGGACGACGAATAGCCACTTGGGGGCGCCTAGAGCCTATTAGTTAATATTTGTTGATTGCAGGTGGAGTGACATCTTCTAAGGCTCTCCGGGGCTGAGTTAGCATGTGCCTTCTCTCACGTAGTTCTAATCTAGTCAACAGGTTTTAATACCGTTGGCCCCGGGATCCCTCAGGGTAAAGAACAGCTTCATGTGGAACACTTCATCATCGCTCAGTTTGGTTAGCTATGCTTCAAACAGTTTCGTAACGCGGGTGTCGTTGCATGATTTCTCATCAGGCTGACTCAGGAGGAGCACGTGACACACTCCAGCACCCACCTTAGGTAGCCATCCTCTCTTTTCGCGATTATTATTATTATTTTTTTAATACCTGCATTTTTAACATACACTCACCTGCACAAACACGCATGCTCGCTCTGAAAGACTATCTATCTTGTCGCTCGTCTGCTTTTTTCGACATGTGATGACAGCTATGATCTGTTAATTTCTATTCTCGCTGTGAGCTGGACTAAACCCACACCTGTAGAAGGTAGTCATTATCCTGAGCCTCGCCACAGATGGGCGGTCACCTGGACACTTGGGTGAGCGGTGGTCATAGACGCTCCCATAGAATTTAGGTTATGTGAAAGATGAGACAAAATATGAGTTTAAGAGCTGAGTTACGTATAGTATATAAAAATGGGGTTACTATAAATCCATGAGATGAAATTGAAAGAATTGAAGATAAGGAGATGGAGAGAGAGAGAGAGAGAGAGAGAGAGAGAGAGAGAGAGAGAGAGAGAGAGATGTGGTAGCTGGGGAGGGGAGTATTGATTTAGATTGCTATTTTAGGGAGCGTGCAAGTTTCCACAATTATAGGTGTTGGCGAGGCTGAGTGAACTATACTGGAAACTTATGATAAAAAACCAAACAATACTAGTGCTTTACAAAGGCAGTGGGTAGTGAAAGAAAAATGGTAAAAATATCGACATTGTAGCCTAACAGATGACTCCGTATATGTACCGGATATATTACTTTTCATAGCTGTAAAAAAAAAAATCCTCCTGTATTCTGGCATCTATTGCAAAAAAAATTCCAGGTACACGTGTATTTTCATTCTCTCCCCCTCCCACTAGGTAATATTTCAAACTTGAGCATACGATAATATCTATTCGTCACCATCAACAATATATTTACAATTTCTTCCAACCACAAGAGTATTTTAGGAATATATGTCACGATCATTCAAGGCTCTGTTAAGATTGAGGTCTGTCTTCCACCATCCTCTTTTACGGTGTGTCTGATTCATGACATCTGATTATAGCTATGATCTGGTATTTTGTGTTCTTGCTGTGAGCAGGATTGAGCCCACGCCTGCAGAAGGTTGCCACGTATGAGCAGTCACCCGGACATTGCTGTGTGAGTGGCTGGTTATGAAAGTTACCACCAAGTTTGTGTTAATGGAAATGGATCTTTTTGTTTGAATTAAAGACAGGTATACGAACAGGTGTTAAATTAGGAAGAACTTTATGATTAGAAGACCCGTTGACGAGGAAAAATTAAACGGTAGTCTGACAGTTTATTTATGAGTTTGGGATATATAAAGAAAAAAGGAAAGAAAAAAAAATGGGAGCACCTGAAGATTCGCTCCAGTTTATTTCACATGAAGATTAACCACCCTAACGTTACCTGGGGGCTATGATAGGTTACAACTCTTCAAGTGATTCAATAGGACAACGTGGAACCTGACTTTTATGTGATCTGTGGTCCTCTCGTTAAGTGTAAATATATTCCTGGTATTACGAGTCGAATATGTTGCCTCCTGAGCACAATGTCAACTTCCTCATGGGTATAAATCATAGGGCTTAAGACATTGCTCTCAAGGTTAAGTCATTGTACTCAAAGGGTTAAGTCATTGTACTCGAGGGGTTCAGTTAGCATACACAAGTCTTGTCATCGTATCCAGGGAGTTAAGGAATCGTTACTCAAGGGGTTAAGATATCTTACACTGTGACCTAATCTATCGTACTAAAGTCAGAGTACTTAAGGGGTTATCTTTACACATCGTATTTAAAGGGAATAGGTCATCATACTCGAGGGGTTAACACATCTTTCTCAAGGGGGTGGAATCATCGTACTCTAGTCGTAAAATCATCGTACTAAAGAAATTATCTCGTAAAACTCGTGGATTTAACTCGTCATATCAAGGTGTCATTGTACTCAAGGAATTACGTATCTACTCAATAATAAGTCAACATACTCAAGGGGTTAACTCATTGTACTCAAGCGGTTGTTATCGTGCTCAAGGAGTTGCTGTAACATACTCAAGGGGTTGCAATCGTACCCAAGGGGTTAAATTATCGTACACAGGGGGTTAAGTCATCGTACTCAAGAGATTACCTCGTCGTTCTTTGGCTCAATTCACCATACAAAGAGGTTGTCACCATACTCTAGGTGTTACGTTATCGTACTCTATAGGTTGAGTAATCGTGGTCTTAGAGGTTAAGTCATCGTACTTAAAGGGTATGTCATCATCATACTGAAAGGATTAAATCATCGTACTCAAGAGAGTAACTTGATATATTCAATGAGTTATGTCATCGTTCAGTGTAGAGGTCTTGTGAAATGGATATTAAGGACGCATCTTGCTTAATTTATATTAGTGATGGTGATTTCAATTAATGTGTTGTTCAGATATTAATTGTTCACAGTATTGTTATGACGTAAGATCGCTCACATATTATTGCTCAAGCATAGGATAAGCCTTCATCTGTTCAGGGACTGTTCTAGAATTTGTTTTGTTTCATCAAAATATTAAGTTTGTTTAGGTAATTAAAGAAGAGTTGTTAATTCTGGATAATATATGTCTTAAAGTTACTTATTTCAATACTTTTTTTTTCCAAACAATTGTGTAATCATGTGTCTCCACCCTACACGTGTCTCAGCAACTCACTTCCTATCATGGCTTGTGTTACTCTACACACATTTCAACACTGATCCCCATCACCGTCGCCCTAAAATATACAGTACTGGTTGTGTCTTATTTACGTCACAGCACAATAGTACACCATCCCCACGGACATGCTTGAGACTCCGTGGCACCTTCAGGCACTTCGTTCTTTGGGATCACCTCCAGGCAGTGCAGTATCGTTTGTATCCATACATTCAAACCAAACTCGCCAAGCAACGCAATTTCGCGGTAGATGCATGCGCAAAAAGATTAGGCCGCGTGTGCTTTTCTGAGCATCACCTCAAGCAGTTCCGTTAGCACCCACCTGTTATGAAACTCCTGAAAACGCACAAGACACACTATCGTCTAGCACCGAGCGAACAGTATTTGTGGTGTCGCGCCGAGTCATGCAGCTTTATATACTCCTGTAGTTCGGCTCCGCCCCTGCTGCTTTGACTCCTCCCATTCTCGTAATACCTCACACCTTCATACACAGGTGAGCTCTTTTTATATACATTTTATGCATAAATTCTATCCGTATAGTGTAATGAGTGACGTCTAATGTAAGGTGTGAAATGAGTTTTTCGAAGTGTATAGACGAATTAAAACAATTGATTCGATGGGACAATATGGTGTATTGTATGTGTTGATGGGACAATATGGGACACTACATATAGTATAGTACTGAAACAATATGTAACACTATATTCTGTACAAAGTCACGCCTCTCCTGGTGTTTCAGCAAACAGTATGTTCTGTACAGTACTTCAAGAGGATCATAGTTCATCTTAAGTTAATCTCAGTTCTGTATCATTTTTCCTCAGCCACATCATAACATTTTCAGATCACTTAAACCTTATTTCCCTTGTTTATATTACCTTAAGATTAACCACCCTAATGCTAATATAACCTAACCTTAGCTAGGATAACCTAACCCAATCTAATCTAACTTAACCTAACCCTCAGGTAGCTTTAAGGTGTTCATTCAGGTGAAATAAGCTAAGATGGACAAATCTTCAGGTGATCCACATTTTCTCCCGTAAATATCGAAAAGAAAAATTCTCATGACAGGGAAATCCTAGTTCCTTATTATGGCCTTTATCTTCTGGTGTGACAGCCAAGGTGTCATTTTCTCTTGTCAAAGATTTCTTGTTTGTTTTTTATCAACCAAGTACTATAAGATTGCTGAAATAATTCCTCTTGTGATGTTTCCCTACAGTATAAAAAGCTTATTGTGATCAGTAGAGTCTGTCTGGATCATTTTAGCGTGCCTATGCCTTGTGTACTGTCATCTTGTGTTTTAGTACCCAAATATTTAATTATTACGGTTCATAGTTTTCCTCTTCATAAAAGTGTTGCAGACCTTTTGAAACTGAATGTCCCAATCACCCCAGACGAACCCATTAATGCCATTCCTCCTTGGCTGGATATATCAGTTCCTATTAATTACACTCCTGTTGGTAGTAAGCAAATGTTAAACACCAATGTGGTGAGATGTGTCACGCTAGAAACTATTAACAGTCACATAGAGAGTATTAAATCGAGTGAATGTTATGCTTTTACTGATGGTTCTGTGCAGACTAACACGGGTAGGGCAGGTTGTGCATTTGTAATATATAAAGAAAAGAAGATGATAGTGTCAAACGCTGAACAACTGGACCTGCACAACACAAACTGAACTAATGGGAATCTAATTATCTACAGACTACCTTAAAGAAAATGGAGGTGGGGTGATATTCTGTGACTTCCAAAGTGCTTTGAAACTGTACTCCAAGTTTTGCCAATAAATTTGTTAACCGTAAAAAAAAAAGATGTTGTCGTGCGTAATGGTAGTACTATTACCATCTCCCCTCAGGCGACTATAAGGGAAGAGTCAGGTTGTAGCTATGGTCGCATGTGCGTGTTTGCGGGAGGCAGGTGTATACATTATCAGGGTCTGTGGTGTTCTGCTGGGTAAGAATCCCACTAATTTGTCGAATGTATCTCTGCCTTTCTTTTTTTTTCTGGCGGCGCTTCCTCACTGTGCTATTTTTGTATTTGTTTTTAAATATTTTTGAAATATATATTAACTATATAGAAATAGGTAGAGAAGGATGACGAGAAAGATAAATATTATGGTAAATATAATAGCCGAGACTACATGAATATTAAACAACGGAAACAGACATATCCAAACAGTCTAAGAAGTGGAGCCGAGTTACATGATACATAAAATATAAAGCAAAACCCTCCAAAAATATAAAGAGAGAAAAAAGAAACAATAAGAGAGACACCGCATGTAAAAAGTGAATAAAACGAGAGAGAGAGAGAGAGAGAGAGAGAGAGAGAGAGAGAGAGAGCCTCACCTAACCCATGACAGTGTGAGAGACAGAGGTTGCGGTGGTGTGAGGCACAGTGGGGAGTCAGCTCCTCTCTCCAAAACACCCACCAACGCGCACCGACTAACAGTTCTGAGGTGACTTATGACACCCCCTCCCCCTCCTCCCGTACACCAGCACCGCCTTGGGAGGGCAGGAGGGTGATGACTGTTATGCAAGTGGAAGGTGAGGGGGAGTATAAGGGTAGGAAGAACATAAGGAAGGGGGAATAAGGGAAGGTGTAGGGAAGAGGCAAGAAGGGGAGAACGAGGTAACATCACCAAGCAACAAATTAGAAGAATATTAAACGATCATCACTTTAGGTAAAATGATGGTTTAAATGTAATCTAGTATTTAGAAAATCATGACTTATAAAGCCAAAAAATAAAAAACCATGAACAGTAAGTTGGACAAGAAAGGCCCAGAAGATAACACGTAAAACACTGTCGCATTATCAAGACACGAGAGGCTTCGATGACCAACTCCACTACCTGACAGTAAACTGCCGTAAAGACAATATGACCTGTAAGGTTATTGTCAAGTGGTAGTGATGGGTGTTGTATGTGAGTGTAGCATAACCACTCATCATATATCATACATATACGAAGTTTCAACTTGTGTGAGAAATAAATTACTTGTGGAAAAGTTTCTCCACCCCATTATTAGCCTCATGATAATTTCACCTTAAGGTCAACAGCCCTAATGCTAACCTCACCTAATTTAAGCTAACCTCCTCTGGTAGCGTTAAGGTGTTTAATCATCAGGTGAAATAAACTGGGGACTAATTTTCAGATGCTTTTAAAAAATTCCAAAACTGACCTTGAAATATAAGTTTTACAGCTAGAAGGGAGACAGTCGATATCATGTCACTCTGGAACAAAAGTCTGTCCGAAAAAAGCGAGAACGCATCCCAAGCAGCGCGTGTCTCCGGCAAGAGTTGGGGAGGCTGGGTGGTCATGTGGGCCGAGGCGCCAACCAATGTCACCCTGGGATACGGTTACCTCCCCTTCCACCCTCCTGTGTGGTGTGAGGGGACGATTCTTCTGATATGGTGAATAACTTACATTTATGGTATTTTTTTATTTATTTATTCCTTGTTCTCTATTGGAAATTATCTCGTTTGTACTGTATTATCCTTTAGCTTTACTCTTTGTTCCGAATTGATTTACAGTTTCGATTTCTTATGGGGATTATAATTGTCTTTATATTTATATTTTATTATTATTATTATTATTATTATTATCACCTTTAATAATATTATCATTATTCATAAGCATTACCATGTAACTAGATTAGGTCTATAAACATTAAATTAATTGTTCCTAAGCAGCTAATGTTAAACCGTTTGTCTTAATTTTAAATATTTGCGTTAGGAAACAGGTCGAACTGTATACTGTGTATCTGTACTTTAATGTGAGAGTCTCAACCCTGAGTAAATAATAACATAAATCCTCTACAAACGACACCTCCAAAGACCGCATCCCACACGTCATCAACAAACCATAAAGGAATGATAGAGGTGTGATCATTATCCATCCTCAGGTGTGTCATTACCTGCCTCGTTATTAGATGTAATCAGCCCTATCGTTCTGGCTCTGACTGGTGATGGCAACTTCCTACGGTCTGCTTGTCCTTCTCCTCGCCTCTCTCACTTACTCCTTGTCTCGGTCCTCGCAGTTCTCAAGAGAGCCAGTTCCATTTTACGGACGAGCTCCCACACGCCACGACACTCCAGGGGCTCTGCAGACGTCTGTACGAGGAATGTAGCGCGTGTGAAACATCAACACAAGAAGTGGGAAGTGGGTGCAGCTTCTCCCTATACTAAGACCATTAGATCCGAGAGCTCTTTTTTAGACAGCATCATATTGGAGATCTTCGTGAGATACATCTACGACAAGTTGTGCAGTCAGGGGAAATTAATTCAGCGAAGTTAAAATTAAAATTAAAATGTTTTGGGATGTATCCAACAGTAGGGTGATAACAGGCTGATATTTTAATATTTATGATAATGATGACGGTGTAATGGTAGGCATATCAGAACTTCAGAACTGCAGAACTTCACATCCTGAAGGCAGGGGTACCAGCGTGAGTTGCGTAAATATGAGGGGAAAATAACAAGGTCAGGAGAATATCAGTCCCTGAACACACACATGACTACCTGGCCTGTCTACGGTGTCACCATACTGACTTCATAACGTCGAAGCAGATTGGCTGAAGAAACTCACTCCTGCTGAACGTTAGACTGTGCAGGGAGTGGAGTAACAGGACTCGTCATATTGATACGAAGCGGAGTAGGCCGCGGCGTGGAGTTTAAACAGTTTCACATTCATCCAGTGTGGGGGGTACACATTACAATAACAGTAAGCCGATTCAACGAAAGACATGATATGTTTTATTTCCAGTAAGGTCCTTTAGATGATTATAACACAGTAGTGATACATAAACACTTAATAAATTGAAGGCCACGGGGAGCTGTCTGAACACCTCTCCCTCCCACCCCTCCCCTTACATTCCCCTCCCGCCATTTTATTTTACCCAACTTCTTTTTCATCGCAAATTCATTACGTTCTGTTTTTATTAATTAGTTTTAAAATATAGAGAAAGGCATCAGATACATTAATACGAATAACATAATACAGAAGGGAACATTTTAAAGGATGCGAGTTTAATTATCACGTAAATGGTGTCAAGACATGAAGTGGACACATAATAACAGCTCTTTGACAGGTATTGAGGCTACAGGTGACACTAACCTCACCTGACAGACAGTAAAACACACTAATCACTATTCTTAAGCTGAATAATATCTTACACAGTCGGCTGGGCGTCGTAGGGAAGGCGTGAGGAACCTCGAGAAATTGGTTAATCTCTGCTATAGTACTTCTATGAATGGGTTAAGCTCTCACTTGGGGGTAAAAGGGCCGGGAACATTGGGCTGGAAATATGGAAATAAGGCGAGAAAAGTTTACGTGATTTAGGGTTGAAAATGACGTGTAAGATGTTGAATGACTCACCGTTTTG